CCTTCGCCATCGGCCTGCGGCACCGCCAATCGGCTCAAGAAATAATTCGAAGGAGAAGAATGCTGAGGATGATGCGACTGTCTTCAAATGTTAAATATGGCCCCCCAGGTGCTAGGCGGCTGTGATAAGGTGGTAGGTAAGGGGGGAGAGGGGTGGGTTCCTCGGTCCCTCCCTCCTCCACCACACCTGATTCGACTGTTCCTGCTCGTTTCAGGCCTCTTCGGAGCTCGCTGATCATTGGAATCAGGTGATCTGAATCAGGAGCGAGGGATGCAAAGCAGGCGGGATGCGGCTCTCGAGGAACCCGAGTTCCCCGGCCCTGCACGAGCGGTTCTTTCTTTCCTTCCTTTGTCGCCTTCTTTTCATTCTTCCTTTCTCTCGTTTCATTTCTTCCGCTCTGCCTTCTTGACTTCGTTCTCTCGTATTTCTTTCTTCATTCCTGCGCCCTTCTTTCCCTTTTCGTTTCTCTGCTTCCTCCTGCCCACTTTGCATCTCATTCCTTTCCTTCCTTTCTTCCTTCCCTCCTTTGGTTTCCCTCGCCTCGCTCCCCTCAGGTTTCTTCCTTCTGCCCCTTCACTTTCTTGCATCCTATTTTCTCTTTCCTCCCTTCTTGCCCCCCCCCAAAAAAAAGGCTCCACACACTCTCTGTGAAGTTGACAAGTGGTTTATTCAGCAGGAATGGTGAACAATTTGTCACTTTTTTTCTTTTCAGTCACGACGGAAAGGCAACGGGGCGCCGCGAGCAGAACGGCGTTGTCTTCTTCGTCGTCGCGCTTGAACAATTCGCGATGACAGTTGTCAACATGAGGGGCCGATTGGGAATCCAAAACGTCTTTGGCTTGTTCCGCGTTTGTGATCAAAAGTGCTTGAAACGCTCAAATGACGGGAAGTTCAGACAGAGATCTGTTGACTCAAAGACATTGAAAACGCCCGAGGGTGGACTGAAAGGGAGACGACGCCACTGCGGCCGATGGGGTTCGCCATCTCATGCTATGCTTTTGCTCGAAGCTAAGCTCATTTTCTAGTGCTGAACAGCGTCCAAATGTTACGTCGTCTCGCTTTAAACACACCCCTTCGCTTAGGTTCGACCTTTGTAACATAGCAGGCGATCCCGTAGCATTAGCGGGGGTCGTTTCACTTCACAGTACTTTTTGTGGAGCTATGAGTTAATTTTTTGGGGCATTCCGGGCTCTCGGGTGTCGTTGAAATAATTTAAGAAACAGTAGGAAAAAAAAAATTGGCATTTCCGCCACAATCTGCTGCTCTTTTGAAGTCGCGTTCACAGATCTCACCACCAAATAAACAAAGACAATTCCACGGGCGGCCACTAGGCTGTGCAGAAGGGAAGCCCCCCCCACCTCCACGACCCCCTACACCCCCTCGCCCACCTGTCCGTCACAAAGTAGCACCATTATACAGTGGACACTTGTTCATATAGGAAATAGTAATGCATAGATTATAGCATACGCGTTTAGGATTATACGCAGGCGGAGCGATGACCATGACAATCAGTTGGTGTGTTTGTTCTGAGTCTGTGTGTGTGTGCGTGCGTGCATGCGTCGGACCCAACCCAAATCATTAATTCCTTGCGATCAACCTTGAACGCCCCTTTTCACCTCACGTCTGAGCCCGAATCCAATTTGGTTGGTGTTTCGTGTGTGTGTGTGTGCGTGTGTGTGTGTGTGAGTGTGTGTGCGCCTTCTGCCTGTACCCGCTCAAGCGCACTTTGAATCCGCAGGTGACCCACTTCTGACAAGCACTGTGAAAGGAGAAAAATTGACTTGACCCTCCTGCATTCCAGTTGTGTTTTGTTTATTTTGGGGGGTTTTTTTTCAACGCTAAGGGGGCTACCAGTGCAGCGTGGCTGGAAATGGTCCCTATTTTGCAGCGGTTCTCAAACTGAGGTGCCCAGACAAAAAAGTTTGCACGAAATAAGGTTGTGTTGCTTGAAAATGTACAAGCATCCCCAGCAGTTGCTCCTCCCCACCTAAGATTTGGGCCAATTAAAATCTCGATTGGATCTCAAAAATGTGACATCCCTGCCGAAATATATATTTTTTTTTCTCCGAAGGTGCACATACCAGAAATAAAGTCCTAGTTTTTTTTCCAGATTATAATTTATTATGTATTATTATAATGAAAAATATTTTTCTCAAAAAAAAAAAAAAAATCTGCGGTTATTATTGTATAAAATAATAAAATTATGACTTTTTTTCCCCCCGACATTTTAATTGCAAATGGCAGTTAGGGTGAATTGGCATCAAAAAGTATTTCATCCCGGATCCCAAAAAAGTTTGACAACCGCTGCTCTACAGGTCTGTCGTCAGTGTTTGAATCACAGACTGCACCTGAAAGTCGTGAAAAAAAAATCAAATTAAAAGCTATTTGCGTTAAATATCCGACTATGAGCCACCTCGGTTTTTAGGGTTTTGTTCAAAAAAAAAAAAAAAAAAAAACTTCTGCGATGCTCGATGGGTGAATAATGGTGAGAGAATTGGAAATGTTTCTTGTCCGCTGACTGACTTGTCTGGTAGCAGCTAAACGAGCGTCTGTGGCGTCGCTTTTACAAAGAACGGATCCGCATATAGGACGGTGCAGTGTAGAAAACAAAGACAACATCCGGGGGAGCCTCTCCTCCCTCCATCCTTTCTTCACGTTGCCGGCGTGGTTTACGGACAACCGTTTGGGGGCGGGGGGGCAGCGGGATATGTCCCAAAGGAACCTAAAATCGCTGCTTCAAACCAACATGCAAGACTTTTTTTTTTTTTCCCAGCTTGGAGGGCTGAATTTTCAAAGAAAATCCGGGGATTGACTTCTGATGTTTTTTTGAGCAGCGCTTCCTTGAGACTTTTTGTCTGACTCTGGCGTCCAGGTTTGGACTTCAGATAAATCAAGATGGAGATGGCAAGCAGTCAATCAAATCGAAATCCACAGGGCAAGAATCCCGGCAAATACGCTCGGGCAAAGAGCGATTTTTTTTTTCCCCCCCTCGCATTTCTCCGTCGGACCCGGCGACTCCGACGTGGATCGCCGCCCCGGCCGCAGGATGTCGTGTCAGCGCTCAAGAGGAGTGCGATACCCTGGCATGCATCAGGCGCAACGCGAGTGCGTAATGCACAGTGGCAGAGAGGAGCGGGAGTGCCACTCGGTCTACCACGAAAACCACTTAGTTCCTTCGCCCGCTAATGCTTTTTCTTTCTTTCTTTCTTTCTTTCCTTCCCCCCCCCCCTTTTTTTTTTTCAAAAGCAGCAGCAAATGCCAAAATTTCCAAAGAATCACGCGGGTGTCAAACGGCGGAAGGGAGGAGCCAAAGAGCGTACCTTAAAGGCTGAGTGACTGGGTCCGGGTAAAGGTTTCTGCGGGGAGAAGCGGAGAGGATTCACACACACGGCGGCGGGCACGTAGACGAATCACAATGCGCTTTCTTTCTTTCCGCCGCTCGCTCACCTTCTTGTTTTTTGCCTTGTCCGTCTAGCGGGCGGCCTTGCTGGTCTTGGCGGGCGCGCAGTACATCTCCAGCCGCCGCAGCTCGCAGCTCTGGAAGCAGCACTCGTCCACGATGCCCCGCGACCGCCGGGCGTTGGGGCCGTAGCCGGTCGGCTTACCTGCGGACGCGCAAACAAACATTGCGGATGCTTGACTTTGATCTGGACGGCAGCTTCGCGAGGCGTCGGATACGGCGGAACATTGCGTAACGTTCCTCTTTGTTGCCGTGAAAAACGCAGTCCGCTTCGGGTCGTTGTTCACAGCGCCGAATATAATTTCTATGGCATTGACAAGGAGGAAAATGCCTTTCCCACTCCCAGTTAATCGCTCTCGGCTCTCCGGCCCACCGGAGTCCATCAGGTTGGAGCGGACGACCCGAAGCGCCGCTGTTCTGGAGACTTTCATTCAAAGAAACGCAAGCGACGCACGTGTCAAACGCAGGTGTGAATGAGTCGCCGTCCGCCGGGCTTTTCGGGGCTAAAAATACGCCGCGCGGTTGCATTATTTAGGCAAGCGGCAGATTCTCTCCCGGGGATTCCGTCAAAGCGGCTGCCCGGTCCCTTGCCGTGACGCAATACCGCTTGAGCGGGGCTGTGCGAAAAGTATGACAACCGAGTCATACTTTTTGCCGTAATCACGTGAATGTGTGGTGCGGATTGATTTCGGTCCACTTCGTGGTGACCATCCTCGCGTTTCTACGGACATTTTGGAGCGCGTTCGGCTTTAAAATGCGTGCCGCGGCCCGGTGAGTGACGTGGGCGTCCGACGGAGAAAGTCGGGTTTTAACCAGCGATTTGGATGTCGTTCCTGAAATATGAACAAATCACCTTTATTCTCTCAAGAAATAGAAGGACTTGGAATAATTGGTTCTGGGACCCTCGAGTTGGAGAAGTGTGACATCGCCCCCTGATGCGGCTCAACTCCCAATGAGAGATTATATAACGAGTCCCATGCCAAACAGCCGTCCAGGCCTCATTACTCGCTTTGCTCTCCCAACAAAAAGCCTCGCAAATTAACATCCGCTGTTATCCCCCCCAAAATAGCTGGCAACCCCGCCGGCCGAGCAGCTGGACGAGTGGGGGGGGGGGGGGC